AGAGAGAGAGAGAGAGAGAGAGAGAGGGAGAGAGAGAGAGAGAGAGAGAGAGAGAGAGAGAGAGAGAGAGAGAGAGAGAGAACGCGAACTCGATGTTGCGGAGCCGCGCGGGGAAAGGGACGGACCAGAGCGGCAGCGGACGGCTTCCCGAACGACACGGCGACGACGCGCATCGGCACTAAAATTTGAACGCGCGTTCAAAGAAAATGAACGCGCGTTCAATTCTTTGAACGGAAGGTGTAGCCGGGGGGGAGGGGGGGGGTTAGGGGCCCGCGCCGCGTTGTCGGCATAGTGGGAGTCCGTGGGGGCTGCGTGGCCGACACAACAGGGGCAGGTCGGGGGCGGCCCGACGAGGCCTTGTGCAGGGAGGGACGCCGGCGGGAGTTGGACCTTCGAAGGTCAGGCTGAGGGCGGACCGCTTCGGTGAACCCATCGGCGAGCGGGCACGATGCCGCGAGGTCAGGCTCGGGTGTTTGAGGATGGGGGGGAGGACGAGAATCTGAAGGCGTAGAAGAGATGTTGCGTGTACAAGTACATTCGCGTGGGACAGAGTCTCGGCGAGAGATTCTGCGGCAATCGCATGTTGAAGTGCGTTTTCTGCGGGCACGAGTTCCAGGGCAACCAGTTCGTGGCAGCGCGCCATTTCCGCCAGGGCAAGGGATGTCCGGAAGTGACCAACGAGGCACTTGTCGACATCTACTACAACAGTGAGTACAAGATGTCTGACAAGTTCCTACAACGGATCCAGCAGTTTGAGGAGCTTCACGGTCCGACGCCTGCGATGGATCCGCGACGAGACGAAGGGGGGGAGGGAGAGATGAGAGACGCGGAGGAGTAGATCGACGTGCACGACGGCGTCGAGGAGGCTGCGCGGGCGGGGTCATCAGGGAGGGAGCGAGGGAAGGGCGTTGTCAGCGAGCCGGGGGGGCAGCAGGGCCAGTACTTTGCGTCGGCGCACGTGTCGGTTCGTACACGAGCAGGTGCCGATACGGCTGAGGCGGGTCCGTCTGCGGGGAAGAGGAAGGAGAGAGAGGAGGGGGCGCAACCGACGGCAGCAGCCGCAGCACAGAAGAGGCTGAGGCAGAACACGATCACGGAGTCATTCTCTTCAAAGTGGCAGATGGAGTTCAAGAAGAAGTGGCTGCGGTTTGTATACAGTCAGCGCCTGACGTTCAACGTCTTCCGGAGCGAGCTGTGGTTGGACGTCGTCTGGCACTTCAGGGATTTGCCGGGGCTAGTGAAGGTGTTGTGGCCTTCAGAGAACAAGATGGCGGACGATGTGGGAGCTGATCTCGCGGAGGTCAGGGCTCCTTTCTATGTCACGGGGGCAACCATTATGTCAGACGGAAGGAAGTCACGCGATGCTAGACCCATCGTTAACTTCCTTGCCAGCGGGTCGCGTGGGGTGATGCTCGTCCGGACGATGAACAGGGAGGGTGAGCGGGATCGGGTGCCTGATGTGTTGGCGTGCTGGATCAAGGTGTTCGATGACTTTCCCCCTAAGTGGGTGAACGCCATCTGCACCGACTCCGCCTCGGCGAACATGCTCCAGGGGCCCCATCAGAGGCCAGAGCATCGACGGATCACGTGGCTCCCATGCGCAGTGCATGTCTGCAACAAGATGTTGTCAATCATTGGTTGTTCGGGCCCGTGGTCCAAGGACATCATCGTGAGGGGGAGAGCGGTGGTGCGCTTCATTAAGGAGCACGGCACCGCTCTCCACATTTTCCGGGGGGAGAGCAGTCAGATGGGCCTCATCTATCCTTGCGAGACACATTTCGCATCCGTGTTCGCGATGGTGGAGCGTTTGCTGGCAGTGAGGTCAGCATTGGAGAGGACGGTGGATGGCGATACTTGGGGTATGGTCCCTTGGGACCATTCCGTTCGTCAATTGGCTAGGTGGGTCAGGTGGCAGGTGCGGCATGGCAGTTGGTGGGATTCCATGGGCATCTTGTTCCGCATCATGGAGCCTTTGTACGACTTGCTGCGCAGGTTGGACCGCGAAGGGCTGCACATGTCGCGGGTGGTTGAGTGGACACAGGATCTGGCCCGCCGTGTAGCAGAGGAGGTTTGTGCACTTCCGGCAGATCTTGCACACTACATTGTGCAGAGGGTGCAAGCTCGATGCGCTCACATGCTGGAGTCGGCGCACGCCGCTGCTCACCTTCTCTGTCCCAGCCGACGGGACTTGCGGTACTTCGAGGGCGTGGTCAGTGACTACGAGGCGAGCTTGGTGAGGGAGGCGGAGTCTTACATCTTGTCGCAGACAGGGTTCAGTGTGGCGAGCCGCGACTACGAGACCGCATGTGCGCAGTTGCGCGACTTCCACACACGGAGGGGGACGATTGCTTGGGGGGGCAGAGACGACGACAGAGATGCACATGGGTGCACGGGCGATGCGGAGACGTGCGAGTCCGGGTGTTGGTGGTCGAGGTACAGGCAGTGCGCCCCGCAGTTGCAGGTTATCGCTCTTCGTGTGATGTACATGTGGACGTGCTCCTCTCCTGCGGGCCGTCCACGAGGGTGTACAGACGAAGAAGCGTAACCGGCTTGAGTTCGAGAAGGTCGCGAAGTTGGTTGAGATCTCAGCCAACGCCCGCCTTCTCTCTCATCAGCGGGCAGGCCGCGGGTTCACGCTGCCGTGGACTCTAGATGAGTCGTTGTTGGACGTGGAGGGAGGTATCGGGATTCGCCCCTCGTGGAAGGGGACGAACGAGAGGAGGACGCGGGAGGAGCTCGAGGATCAGAGACGTTCATGGCAGCGAGACCCATGTGGGTCCAGAGCTCCTCCGGGTGATGTGGGCGATGTTTTTGGGACTCGAGCCACCACATTGCACCCGTACCCTCGAGACGACAGTGATTCTGAGGGTGATGAGGACGAGGACGAGCCGGCGGGCCCCGCTACCGCCACTCCGGCGGCGGATGAGCGTGATGAGTGGAGCAACCCAGAGGACGTCCGTAGACGGAGTGGCAGAGATGACCTGTTCGTTCCAGGTTATCTGGAAGAGGAGTCTGGGTGTCGTCATGGGAGCCCTGTAGAGCGTCCGAGGCCTACGTCCACTGGCCCGCTTCCCGCTGAGCGGGAGAGAGATCCTGGTTCTGCACCTTCGAGGGGGGCAGAGTCGGGGATTGGCCATCGTCCTCTGGGTCGCTCTGGCACGGCATCATCCGCCGCTCTTCCCACTTCGACGGAGGAGCTTCATCGACAACCAGCCGGTGCAGATCGATTGCAGAGATTGGTGAGGGGCCCGCAACAGCGATTGGAGGACAGATTAGAGGGCGGTCCTTCACCGGTGCAGAGGGACGTTGGAGATAGACAGGGGTTGGTTGGTGGAGATGGTGGTGCGTTGGCCGGAGGTGGAGGCGGTGCCGAGGTTGCTGCGGCGTTTGAGGGGATACCGATGGGCGGCGGAGGCGGTTTCAGTGAGTTTGGTGACATGGGTATGCCCCCGGGAGAAAGCGTGGGTCTGGCCCGAGGAGAGAGTGAGTCCCGTGGGGACATCAGTGTGGGTATGCAGGACTTACTTGGACAGATCAGCTTGGCGGACCCGAGTAGTTTCTCCCCTGCCATGCGCGCAGAGGTGATGTTGGGGGCAGAGGGGGATGAGGACCGGACACCCCCTGGAGAGACATCTGAGGAGAGGCTGGATAGGCTTGATAGTCGTCGAGCTGCCCTCATGGCACAGAGGGACCCCAGGATGCAGGAGCTCGCCCATCTTGGGGCCGAGGACCGACGGAGGCAGCTGAGGACATTTACGCCGGCGTCCGTTGACGTGGGGCCAGCTGCCCACACGGATCCTCCGGCAGAGGTTCACGACACCACGCAGTGGGAGGCGGCTTCGACAGAGGTATCGAGTACGGGAGTAGATGTTTAGCAGGGGACGCACAAGAGCAGGTTGGCAACGACAGAGGAGCCACGTTCGGAGCCGGCGCAGCCTCCTGCCATCCAGCTGAGGCCCGAGGAGACATTGCAGGAGGTCGCGGGCGTCCCTCTGCCCGCGGGTTCAGTTGAGGGTGCAGTGCAGATGTCCCCGGGTCTGGAGGACATACAGACGGCGCAGTCAGCGGGCGTTGATGATATTCGCCCATCGGCACAGGCGGAGGGGATAGCGCCGACCACCGGGGGGGACGGGGCCGTAGCGGGGGCCGTTGGTGTTGGCGGGTCGGGGGTGCCGTCCGCGGCCGATCCGATGTCCACGTCTGGCGGGGGGGACCCCGCACAGGTGGACAGGCGTGACGTGGACGGACAGGAGATGCCATAGACTTTGGTGGTTCGCACTGCTGTGGGGCCAGTGGTGCCGCATCAGGCACCGTTTTTGGAGGGTTATAGGCGTCGTGCACATGGCGGGGGCCCGGACGAGGAGCGACGTGTAGGCAGGGGCGCGTGCATACCCCCGGTCCCTACTTTTGCGCCGTCACGGACGAGGCCAGAGATTCGGCATGTGGCTACGGAGATTCGGCATGTGGCTACGCCTCTGGGCAGCCTCCCTTTTGGTTTTATGACCGCTGAGGAGTTAGAGGACCACGGCAGGAGGGATTGACGGAGATCGACCAGCACGTTTTGAGGTCAGTCCCGGAGGAGGGGAAGTTGCCTCACGTGCAGGATTTATCTTGGGGGCCAGCCAGCCCCAGCTTACCTTCTGGGTGTTCCATCGCAGCGCCATCTAGCGGGGCTGCAGGGGGCTTACCTTCTGGAGGTTCCGTCGCAGCGGCATCTGGCGGGGCCGCAGGGGACTTACCTTTTGGAGGTTCGGTCGGAGCGCCATCTCGACGCGCCGCAGGCCCTTCGTCACCCTTGATCGCAGCTCCGAGGGAGGGCTGCAGTCTCACCCCGAGGTCGGTTGCCCGTAGACGGAGAGACACTACCCAACGTGCGCGGGAGTTGCTGGACACCATGTTGTTCGGTCGCACAGATCGACCATGGAGCGAGACGAGACGGGTGACGACGGCGAGTGTCGGTCGTCAGCCAGGCCCGGGTTTGAGAGGGGCTTCCACGGCCGTGAGACGTCGAGATGTTGTAGCTTCAGGGTTTGGTGGTAGAGGTGGTGGCGGCAGTGGCAGCGGTGGCCAGGGCGACGACATACGTGAGGTGGAGGCGTTGCCGCAGCGAGCACAGTGGATCCGCCCTTGACGTACGGTTTGAGAGAGGCGTCAATTATTTTGCATGAGCCTGACGTTGTTACACGACCGAGGCAGGAGAGACACGTGCCCTTAGATCGACGCCAGAAGGGGGAGACTTCAGGGACAGACGGTCTACCTATGGCACGCGAGTCACGCATACGTGATGACCTAGCAGCCGCAGGTGTAGGCAGGACGTTGAGAGGCAGGAGACTCATTATGGACGACGACCCCGACGAGTGTCCCGTCGCTCCCGAGCCTTCCGCTGGCAGACGCGGCGGCCAGCGTCATAGAGATCGAGGGCGTGGCAGTGGTCGGAGGGGAGATGGCGGTTCTCATCGGTCCGAGCGAGATCTGCGTGCTCACGACGATCGTTGACGGATCACGGACTTGCGTTTTCGTGACATTCTGAGTGTACTTTAGTTTTTTGTTATCCATGGCAGACGTAGTGTCTCGTAAGGTTGTATTATAGTCTACTTTCCAGTGGGTGTTTTTCTGCGCAGACGTAGTGTTTCGTGATGTTGTATTCTAGTCTACTTTCGTAGGAGTACATGGCCATTTCGTTCGAGCTTAGTTTTTTGTTATCCATGATAGACGTAGTGTTTCGTGATGTTGTATTATAGTGTACTTTCCAGTAGGCACTTTTCGGCGCAGTTTGCTACTTCGGAGATTATAGCTTTCCACTGTATTTTAGTGTACTTTTTGTCGGCATTTTTGGGTTGGTACTTCTTTCCACAGACTGGCGGGGCTTCGATACGATGTGTCAAATTTTTGCTATTATCCATGCTATAGTGGTTTGCGTTTTGCTTCGATCATTACATCTTGTCATTTGCGATGTTTCTGTTTTCAGACGACGAATGTTTTGTGTGCTTTGAGTCCGCCCTTGGTTTCTCTTAAATCTCACTTCCCCTGAAGTGCTTCCAGGCCCCTCATAACCCAAACCATACCTTAGCCCCCCCTGGCCCCCCCCCCCCCCCCCCGGCCCCGAACCCCCCAAACCCCCTTTTTTTTTTTTTTTGCTTGCAACCCTTTTTCAAAATTTCTCTAAGACTCTAACCGCTTGTTTTGCGCTTAACAAAAAAATAAAGAAAACAGATATTTTGGAAAAAAAATAAACGAAAGGTCGCAGTTTGTGTGTCTGTGTGAATGTGATTATGTGTGTGTGTGTAAATGGGTGGTGCAGTTTGGGGGGTCGTACGTGTTGGCGAATAAAAAAAAAAGTGCCCGTGTGTGTGCGACGGTGTGAATTTGTGTGTGCATGTGCGTGTGTGAATGTGCGTGTGTGGTAGTGTGTGTGTGTGTGTAAATGGGTGGCGTGGTTTGGGGGGTTGTATTTGACAATTTGTGGGCAGGGAAAAAAAAAAAAGAAGGCCCCGGGTGGCGCAGAGGCACGGTCGGAGGGAAGGTGGCGGGAGTGGGTGGCCCACCGTTGGCTGGGTGTAGGGGTGCCGGGGCTTGGCAGGTGGCGGTTTTGGGGGTGGGGGCCGTGGGGCGGGGGGGGCTATCGGGCGGTCCCCGGGGGGCGGTTTTCGCACTCTGGGGGTCTGTTGAACTCGGACCACCACCCAGTAGCCCCCGTCGCGCGCTCGTGCCCCGAGGGACCGCGTTCAATTTTTTTGCACGCGCGCGCATGTAGCGCGTTTGAACGCGATTGAACGTGGGGCAGGGGGGTATGAACGCGCGCGTTTGAACGTGAACGCGCGTTTACGGCGTTCATACGGTTACTCAGGGTAGGATGAGGGAGTAGTGGTAGAGCTAGAAGATGATTAGATAATAGGGGGAGGGGAGAGATAAGGGGTTGGGGGAGAGTAGGTTAGTGAGTAGGTAGGTTATACCAACCTCTTGGTGGCCAAGAGCAGAGAACACTACCAAGATCCATACGATTTTGACCTTCTCGATTTATGCGTGTCATCCTTGCATAGGGGCCATGCTAATCTTCTCTGTATCGTTCCAATTTTAAAGGATGTCCCAAAGGATGATCTTGGCCTTCAAGGTGCTGCTGGCCTGCTGCCGCAACAATTATAAAAAAAAATGATAACAATATGGGGTTGGTTGAGATCTCAATCAGCCACCCTGATTGCACAGTCGCTCAGCCCCCTAGCCAGTGGGGTCTTCACTGCTGCTAAACTGCCGCTGCAGGAGTAGAAAAAATAATAATAATCATCATCATCATCATCATGGTTTGGGTTTGCTGAGATTTCGATCAGCCACCCAGATCCGACTGTACTTTCTAGCAAGGGGGGTCTTCAAGATCTTCAGCAAGCTGCCTTGTGGCACTATAGATGGCCACGTGTGCAGGCAACAACATCCACGACGTCGGGGGGGGGACGCGCAAATAGCAGCCCACCCGCTGCTGTCGTGCTGGCCACTACTCGCCGCTCATCGACCATGGGGTGGGGGTGGTAAATAGTTGGTGTGACACTCTTCAACACCAACGTGCCACGCTATAGGGACATGGCTAGAGTTTGGCCATCGTGTTAAGGCACTAGCTATGCACGTGTATGGTTGACAGATGTCTAGGTTCAAATCTTGGCAGTTGCACTCCCGAATATTTTGATATAATATAATCCGGGAGTGGGGCAGGGAGGGGCAGCGGGCACGTGGCACGTGCGGTGGCCTTGGCGCTTGGTGCGTCACTCAGCGCTGTTTTTTTTCTCGCTGTTTCTCGTCTTGAACGGCGTCGTCTGGCTCCGAAAAAGACCCAAAATCCCGCTATCGGGATTACGTTATTTTTTCACACTTGTGGGATGGGATTGGTGGGAGCGGGGACCGTTCCCGATCTGATACCATCATACCAGTGTGACTGACCCACCGGGATGGCGGTTCATGAGAATCAAAACAAAGGGATGAGGATGGGGGAGATGGAGATGGAGCTAGAAGGGACAACGCAGCTCCAACGTAGACTCAACACACACAAACTTCAAACTGTGCAAATGAAGAATGAGACTAAAAACAGACTGCAGTTGGGGTATAACCCCCGATGAGCTTACTGGACTGAACTAGACAGTGATTTTTGGCAGGACTAGATTGGACTGAATGAGCACACGACCTGTGGGGTTAGGCCACGGCCTAGGCCCAGTGGCCGAATAGGCAAAATAGCTAGATAGCCCTGAATCTAGGCCAGGGCAGCTAGAGGCACACCGCACATTGTAACTACGGAGGGGACTCTGCGTCCAGCCTCCTGATCAGTATATGAAATTATGAAGAAACAAGTTGTCACAACACCTTATTTGTTGTCCTCGTCTCCCTCTCTGCTATATATAAAAACTAGCTAAGCGCCCATGGTGCGGGCAGTGCGGGCTAAGCCTGCAAAAATAAGAAATGTAGTGGGTGACCTCACACTGACCGCTCGCATAAACTTAGACTTGAAAAGAAAAGAAAAGAAAAAAACAAAGGTTAATAAAAAATATCCTCAAGCTAACTCTGAAGTAAGAGCACATTTGACGAATTAAAAAATAACAGATTGAAAATTCAGAAAAAAAAGAGAAGGAGAAAAGGGGAGGAGAGAGAGACACATAGATAGATAGATAGATAGATAGATAGATAGATAGATAGATAGATAGATAGATAGATGAATAGATAGATAAATAGATAGATAGATAAATAGATAGATAGATAGAAAAATAGATAGATAGATGGATAGATAGATAGATAGATGGATAGATAGATAGATAGATAGATAGAGAGAGAGAGAGAGAGAGATAGAGATAGATAGATAGATAGATAGATAGATAGATAGATAGATAGATAGATAGATAGATAGATAGAGAGAGAGAGAGAGAGAGAGAGAGGAGTAACAAAAGAATAATGCGTAGAATAAA